CCTTCCTTCCTTCCTTCCTTCCTTCTGTCTTTCTTTGTTTTTTTTTGTTTTTTGTTGTTTGTTTGTTTGTTTGTTTGTTTTTTGAGACAGGGTTTCTTTGTATAGCCCTGACTGTCCTGGAACTCACTCTGTAGACCAAGCTAGCCTCAAACTCAGAAATCTGTCTGCCTCTGCCTCCTGAGTGCTGGGATTAAAGGCGTGCACCACCACTGCCCAGCTGGACTCTTCTTTTTTTGAGTTTGGTTTCCACTATAAAGGCTAGGCTGGCAAGAAGCACAGTATCCCCCTGACTCAGCCTTTAAACTGCTAGAATAAAAAGTCTACACTAATACATTCAGCCTTCAAATGTCACTTCAGATAAATGGAGTGATGTTTGGAACATGCTTTCATTTTAATGGTTGACCCTCCTGATGTTTCCTTTTTCTCGTTATTAGGTTTGCCCATATCCTCATTCAATCCAGTTCTTGGCTTTCTGTTTCCTGCTGTCATTTTTTCTGTCTTTTAATATACACGCATATACATAATTGATGTTTATTCATTCATATGTGTGATTAAAGAAGAGGAGGGAGTGAATTGGAGAGGGTATCGGGGCAAGGGGCAGACATGGGAAGGCTAGGAGGGAGGAGAAGGTAAAATAATGTCATCCTCTAGCATGGGTGGGGGAAGGGTGGAGAGAGAGTGTGTGTGTGTGTGTGTACTGAGGCTAGAAGAGAGAGTCAGATCTCCTGGGTCTAATGTTATAGGCAGTTGTGAACCATCTGACCTGGGTGCTGTGAATCAAACACAAGTCCTCTGGAAAAACAGCAAATGCTCTTAACCACTGAGCCATCATTCCAAACCCTTCCCATCTGTCATTTCTTTTCTTAAATTTTAACTAAAATATAATAACATCATTTACTCCTCCTCCTCCTTCCTACCCCTCCCATGCCTGCTCTTCTGCCCCTATACCCTCCCCAAACCACTCCCTCCTCTCATAGCCACTGTTACATATCTGTATGAATGGATAAACATAACTATGATTTGTCATTTTTCCTAACATAATATTTTTATTGATTATTTGGGAATTTTACATAGTGCATCTGAATTACACTCACCTCCGAGTCCTCTTAGGTTTGCCCCCCAACCCTTGTGGCTTCCCCCCCACAAAAAAAGGAAAGAAGAAAAAAACTGTCCAATTTGTGTTGCCCATATACTCACTGGAGCATAGTCAAACTTCCAGTACCCAGCTCCCAAAAGAAAACTGAGTCCTTACTCACTTGCAACCTCCACCAGATAATAGAGACCATGTGGATGTTTGTGGTCTGTGCTGTCACCACAAACCATGAGTAAATCCATTACCCATGCTCTCGTTGATTGTAAAGGACAAGGACGCTACTCTTACCATAGTATTGATGACTATAGACTCATAGTTGAGAAAAAGGGACATAGAAGGGTTCTGTGACAACACCTACTCCCACCCTTTGCCCTCCAAAAAAAAAGTAACAGTCTAGACAGATACTGAAGTGTAGCTCTCCACAATTTTTCATTTGTTAATGCTCAATTTCTTACACATTCCCATTCTGAGTTTCTCAGAGTGAATATAATTCGCTCAGCACACCCATTAGTGGATAGAGCTTTTTGAATGGGAGTCATTACATAGTTATAAGCTATATGTCCTTTAGGCAAAGGAATTCTTTCCCATGCATTGCAGTCTGAATCTCTGGGAATAATGATCAGCTCTAGATGGCATATATTATAAAATCCCCACCCAGTCTGCTTTGCTCTCACCACTGTGCCATGTCACCAGGGCAGTCAGTTGGATTTTACAGTGGGATGTGGTGAATATCTCTGTAAAATGGATAGTAAAGAAAGTCTTTGATACTGAATGGCTATATGCCAGAGAGTTATGCATACACAACTCCATTTCAGGCTAGTAACGGAAGAGACATGATATGCAATGCAACCTCCCCATCCTCACTGCATCTGAGATCCTACAAGAAGAATATCAAGATGGATACAATATCCTGCCCAATGCAACCCAAGAAGGCCAAGTGAAGAAACACACAATATACCAAAAGCAGTTGCAATGAAGACTAGTTTAATGGATCTATCATGAGAGTGGCTTGTTAGGTCACTTCTTTTTAAAACATATATTTCAAGTAGACATAAACATGAATTTGGGCAATGGCCACTCTATTCTGGAGAGGACACTTTATTTTACTGTCCAAACCCATTCAAACAAATCCATATCATTTCTGGGCTTCCCCAGCTTCCTGTCAATTAAATAGATCAGAATATTATTGGTGGGCTTCTGGCTTTTTAACTCTTTCGGTGGGACCACCTCTATGTTCTGTTCTGGTGGGCTGGGAACAGCTTCAGGATTTTCATTATCCATGGCTGATATTATCCAAAGGCCTCGAGGCAACGGAGAAAGCCTGAAAAAGAAGATGAAGCCACACAATCAGAGGCCTCTTTATTACCGCCTCCTCCCTTTTTTGTCTGTCAGTTTCTCACGCAATAGTCAAATAAAGTTGCTTTGAGACACAATTTGATTTGCAGTGTCCCTCTTATCATATTCTGCATTATTACATTTTAGGCTAATGTCAGGAGGCAGGAAGCAGCATAGTCCATATCTGAATATTTGAGTACAGGCACTCACTTCCTGGGATTGCTGTGGGTCTACCTTTAGAGCCCAGAAACATGGTATCTTAGTGACAGGAATCACACCTTTTTATCAGCTGCTCGAGGAAGAAACAACAGTGCTTCAGTTAACTCTGTATTTCATCAGCAGACTCAGATTGGCTGCATTCTACCTTAAAATAATTGACTGGTTGAAAGCACTTAACAGTTTACCATCTGACAGGAGCCATAATAGGACAAGCTAATAACTAGCAGGTGATCTTCCTGTGATGATCTGCTTCAGATTATAATATAATCTGTGAAAGATTTGTCTTATTAGACAAGGCCCTAAGAGAATAATTTTAGGAAAGATTCCTGCTATTAATATGCTTTTCCTGTTATTATTAAATATAAATAACAATCACTAGATATTAGCCCACCGCTTTTGAGCAGATCTCTGCAGATCTATGATGTACTGTCTTGTAGTGATGTTATATAGACAAATAGATGACTTCTTAAGTCTTAATGGTGATCCTATTAGAATTCCTAAAATTATATTGGTGATTATTAATCTCTTTTATAGTGGGACTACTATTAGTTCCTTTTCTGATAGTCAAAAACTGCAGTGAGAACTCTGCTAGCCTCCCAAGTGTCACCAGTTAATTGCTCTTAGTAACCAGACTTTCTCCTACTCAGAGCACATTCCAAGAGGTTATAAAACAATTAACCAGAGGTTATAAAAAAAGAAACTGATTTATTATAGGTGCTAGGATAGAAGATAAAATATTGACAGGGTTTATCTATCCAAAACTTCACTAATAACTTATAGTTTTAAACCTTCAGTAAACCTGTGGAGCTGAGACAGGTGATGGATGTTTAGCCAGATAATTACTCCTAATGGACACGCATGTAAACATTCTCTGTTGTAAACTTCTATTTCAATTTGATTTGATTTGATTTTATGTGTGAACTTGTGATGAACATTTTAACATGTGATCATGTATTCTGAAATATGTTTTACGTGCTGAGGACAAAGAGAAGAATAAGAACTGAGCTGAGAAGAACTGAGGAAAGAAGGAACTGAGCTGAGGATAACCTTTTGGTTCTTGTCCCAAAGGCTCATGTTAATATCACAGTATAAAGCACAGTCCAATATTTAAAAGTTCTACAGTCGAATTCTGCCTGCTTCTCTGGAGGCCTGCAAGACCCAGGGACATCACACAGGAGCCTAGCATCACTGTCATCTGAGAAACTTCACCCTATAACTAATGAAAACAGATGCAGAGATGCACAGCCAAGAACTTGGAGAATCTTATTGAAGAGGGGGAGAAAGGATTGAAGGAGCCAGAGAGGTCAAGGCACCACAAGAAAGCCTACAGAATCAATTAATCTGAGCAGGCAGGGGCTCATAGAGACTGAACCACCCGAGGTGGCCCTCAGCATATAAGTAACAGTTGTGCAGCTGGTCTTCATATGGGACTTCTAACAGAAGGATTCGGGGCTGTCTCTGACTACATTGTCTGCCTTTGAATCCCTTTCCCCTAACTAGGCTGCCTTGCCAAATTACAATAGAAAATACACCTAGTCCTACTGCAACTTGTTATACCATGGCTGGTTGATATCCAGGGGAGGCCTCCCTTTTCTGAGGAGAAAGGGAGGACAGGAGGTTGGAGGAGGGAAGATAAGAGGGAGGGACTGGGGCTGAGGGAGATGCAAGCAGGATGTAAAGTAAATAGGAAAAAAAATGAACTAAAAAAATTCCACAGCCTTTATGATTTTTGTTGTTGTTACTTTTATACTTTTATTTATTTATTTATTTATTTATTTATTTATTTATTTATTCCCACTTGCTGTCCCACTTCCAGTTGCCCCCTCCCACAATTCTTCCCTCATCCCCCCCACCACCATTCTCCTCTTCGAGGGTGGCACTTCAAGTCTCTTGTCAGTTCCTCCCCACATAATAGAAGGTCTTACTAGGGGCACTCAAAACAGGCCTAGAGATTTCAGGACAACAAGACTAGGCCGCTTCAGACAGAAAAGGCTTCCCGATCTGGCATAAAACATAAAGTCAGCTCATTATTTTGGGGTGGGATGGAGACTGTAATGTTTTAAGGGAGGAAAAATAAGAGTCAGAGGAATAGGTAAAGCAAACAAAATGGATTTCCCAAAAATGTGCCTCCAGCACAAACTTGGAAGAGTCTCCCCCTTGGCCCAGCAAGGTTCTGCTAGACATCTTAATTCAAATGGGATCTGAATTGTTTGTTCATGCACCAATGGCCCACCCTCCTGAACATGAAGAGAAACTGTAACCATATCTTTGACTGTTGTAGAACTTCTGCTCTGTGGAAAATAGCTTCTCTAACTGTAATATAAAATCCTGGGTTCAAACTGCCTATGCTCCCCAGTCGAGTGAGGCAAGTAAGTTTCCATCACTGGCACAGGATTGGGTGCAGTTATCCAGAATGTACCCACAGGATATCACTAGGCTTATCTACAAGGTTAAATGGTTGTCCTGAACTCTGAATCTAAGCAGCCATCTGCAGCCATCTGAGTTCTACCACAGTCCTCTAACTTGGTCCTAAAGACCCACTTCTATGAGCCCTCCTCTTTCTGCCTGAAACCAAAACAAAAAACAAAACAAAACAAAACAAAACAAAAAACCACTTTCCCCTCTCATCAGGAAGTAGCCAGTTGTTACTGCTCCCATCTCCAATGGCAGTGGGTATCAATTCCTGATCTCTGAGAGAGGGGAAGAGAAGAGGATCAGGGGAACTGGAACTGACTTAGAAAACAGGAACTGGCCCCTTAAGAGAGGTTGCTCCTTGCAGTAGTTAAAGGCTGTGACTATTACAAAGTGCTAATATCTAGAGGGCAGTAAAATGAGGGAGAAGAGGAAGAGGGCTAGAAAGGGCAGAGTCCCAGGGAGCCTAACAGGAGTCTAACACAGAGTCTTCAGGAAGATTCCCATCTCTGGGGCTCTTCCCATTCCCTTGATGGGAGCTGTATTTCTGTCTTAATAAGATTTGCTGATTTTGTTCTTGTTTCTCTCTCTTGTTGGTGCTTCTCCACCTTCTGTGCCCCATGAATTTCAACTGTAGTTTTCACTTTGGGGTAATAGCCACTTGTTCTCTGTGTCTGTGACCCCAGGATCTCCTGTTGCTTTTGCTTTCTGGCAGCAGTTGCTTTCATGGTCCCTGCATCTGCAGCCCTTGAGAGCTCCACCTGTCCCTTCACTTTCCTTTTGTTAGTGGCTATAACCTCCCTCTAGTCTGTTGACTTAGCTTTCTCTGCATGGGTCTTATTTTTAGCATGTACAATTCTTCATCTGTCCCATGGAACAAACTTGGTGGAACCCCTAACTGCCAACCCCTCGCCTAAGATGCCTGTGACATTGGTAATAAGGTATTAGAGGGGAATGTGAACCTCTGCTAACACACAGCTTCTTGTGACCTAGAACCCGTGTTCTGAGTCCTTACTTCTTGGACACGATGTCTGGGTTGTTAACTCTCACCATAACTCTGTTGTGTAGAAATCTACTATGTGAGTAGTCAAGGATGAGAAGAAGAGAAGAGTGGACTTGGGGGTGTCCAGGTTGTGTCATCCTTGAACCCCTGTCTTATCCATCACATCTCGGGCCTTGGCCTACAAGATCTTATCTACTGTGTCTTGTGAAATTGTGTCTCATGCTACACTCAGCCCCCAGTGATTCCTCACCACTTAGCCCCACAGGGATGGTTTGTTTTTTTTTTTTTTTTTGGTTTTTTTTACTTTTTGAGATAGGGTTTCTCTGTGTAGCCTTGACTGTCCTAGAACTCACTCTGTAGACCAGGCTGCCCTTGAACTCAGAGGTCTGCCTGCTCCTGCCTTCTAAGAGCTGATATTAAAGGTGTAGGTCACCACCACTTCCTGGGTCCCCCAGGAATCTATCTGCTACATGTTTTTGTGACTCAAATAGCATAAAGGCATGTCTCAAATGAGGGGGAGGAAACTTGAGTGTACTCGCTATATGAGTGGACTTAGACTGGAACTATGCGTTCTGTCCTCCCATAATTACTTGTGAAGTTGACTGATAGCTGAAGGAATATGATATTAGAATCCAGACCAAACTGTTACTCAGGCCACAATAACCACAGAGGTCCTTGTCCTCTCACAGTTGTGAATAGGCACTCCACTGAGGCACTGTCTGTGGATCTTTAGCTAACAGATGGCTAGGTGACTGGCTTTCTCATCTGGGGAAATGAGCTTATATGAAAGAGATTATTGGTGGCTACACAGCCTGCTCCCTACCCCGTTTTCTGCCTCCTGCCTGAGAATCAGAGTCTAGATGCAGGCTCAAGTTGTAAAACCACCCCCATGCTCATAATGTTATAAGAGACTTCCATTTCTGCTCCTGAAAGCCTCTGACATGCTGTTTTCTGGCTGTCTGTCCAGGGCATCAATAACTTGTTTATTTTTTGAGACAAGGTTTCACTATGTAGCCCTGGCTGGCCTGTGACTCACTGTGCATACCAGGCTGGCTTTGATCATACAGAAATATGCCTATCTCTGCCCCTCAAGTGCTGGAATTAACATGTGTGTGCCATCGTACCTGAGTAATAACCTTTGTAATAAACTTCTTACCCCCAAACAATCCATCTCAGTGTCCCCTTAATCCCTAACATCTGAGAGTCTTCAAGAACAATTGAGAGAAATGTGTTGCTGTGGAAAACTATTCCCACCTTACTGGATTCCTCCAGACCCAATGCCAGTCTCTGATGACCCACATGATACTAATCATAATTCATATCACAGGTAATCTTTCAAAGGTACAGTTGCTCCACAGTTCTCCCCTTGTCTTTGAGATGCTTAGAAAGTTAAGAAAGTGTGATGACAGGAGCTGTGTTATGACGCAAGAGCCCACTCTCAATAGGTGAGGGAAGAAAGTTCATGGTAAAAATCTGAAGTTGCTCATCTGTGTTGACATGAAGACAGAAGCTACAATCAAAATGAGAATGATGGGATAACACAGCAAGGCCTAGAACATGAAGAAGATGCATATCTTAGCTATTATTCTATTGCTGTGAGTAAACACCATGACCAAGGCAACTTATAGTCAAAAAGCATTTCACTGGGGGGGGGGGGAGAGAGAGAGAGAGAGAGAGAGAGAGAGAGAAAGAGAGAGAGAGAGAGAACCTGTTGGACTTTTGAAAACCTCAAAGCCCATCCCCTGGTGACACATCTCCTCCAACAAGACCATATCACTCAATTATTACTAAGGAGCCCATCAACTGAAAAGCAAACATTCAATAAATGAGCTTATAGGGGACATTATTATTCAAATCACCACCACACTAATTAAGAAAGCTTATACTTGGGTATGAGATAAGAGGAAGGACAGGGCTTTGGGCCAGTAATAGAAGACCAGTTTACTCCCTCTACCCAGAAAGTCTCTGAGGAACAATATAGTCTCCTCCTCCTCCTCCTCCTCCTCCTCCTCCTCCTCCTCCTCCTCCTTCTTCGGGTTGGGTTCAAGATAAGATTCCTCTGTGTATCCCTAGCTGTCCTGGAAACCCCTCTGTAGTTTAGGCTGAGACCAGGCTTGCCTTGAACACAAAGACCCACTTGCCTCTGTCTCTCAAGTGCTAGAATTAAAAATGTGGACAACTACCACCCAGCTTTATCTTCTTGTTCCTAATGTAGTTAATTATAACAAACTAAACTGGAAGTAAGAACTGAAGAACTAGGATTTAGATCCCTGATGAGCTGACAGACAGGAAAAGGGCCACAGGTAGATAATAAAGATGACAAACTTCTGGCTTCTTCCTCACCCTCCTCATGGAAACAAAGGCTTGGCAGCTTAAAAGAAAGGCATAGTAGGCATCTTCTCCTGTCAGAGAGGTCCCTGACAGCAGAGTGGTCCAGGCTGGACCATGACACATTTACTCAAAGCAGTGGACCTATCAGCTTCCTTTTCTTCATTTACATTGACCAACTCTATAAATTATGGGGAAAGGCCTTACATTTAAGCCTACTAAATACCCGTACAACCCCCAGGCCTTCAGGATAGGTCTGACTTCAGCTTCCTCACACCCCCTACTTTTCAGGGGAGGTCTTTGTCTTTGTTTGTGTATGTGTGTACATCTCTATATGTGATTGTGTGAATGTTTATGTGTGTATGCTTTTTCACCTTTAATAAAGGTAGTTTTCATCTGTTCACTTTATCTGCTATGTCTGAGATTCTCTGTGATCCTGCCTGTCTGAAAAATCTCTGCTTGAGATTTTTTTTAACTGCCTCTCAATTCTTTAACTGCAAGAGAAAACAAACCAAATGCAGACTGCTGGAAGGTACCAGGATGGCTTCTAAGAAGCTTCTGCTTAAGAGGGCATCTGACACCCCTATAGTTGAGGGGCCAAATATGATATAATCAAGAAACAGCACAGCAACATCTTGGCAGCTATGATAGAGTTAGCTCTCTGCTGAGGTAAAACCCCAAGCGGGTTATGTAAATCTGAGACCGAAAAGAACTTAGTAAAATACAAGATACCTTCAAGTTCAGAGGGTAGTAAAGTTGGCCAAATATCAAGGTCAATAATTAACAAAGGTACTCAGTGATAGATAGGAGGGGCTTTAACTACCCCTAACAAGATGGGCAGTATTGGAACAGAAACTGGGCCACGAGGCCATGTATAGAGCATAAGGACCCCACACTAGCTTGATCTATGATAGCCCACAGAATTAGCTGATCTTGGCAGAGATTACCACAACTTTTGTCCAGTTTCTGCCATGGTCCTATAAAAATCCCTAGACAAAGGAGCTCGATGACTTTTCCGTTCTTGGAAACCCTTCCTACTTTAAGGAGTTACCTAACTTTCCATCCACCTTTTTTTTCTTTCTTTCTTTCTTTCTTTCTTTCTTTCTTTCTTTCTTTCTTTTTTTTTTTTTTTTTTTTTTTGGTTTTTCAAGACAGGGTTTCTCTGTGTAGCCCTGACTGTCCTGGAACTCACTCTGTAGACCAGGCTGGCCTCGAACTCAGAAATCAGCCTGCCTCTGCCTCTCAAGTGCTGGGATTAAAGGCGTGTGCCACCACCACCCGGCTCCATCCGTCTTTTACTTCTTAAATAATTCTTCTTAATAAAGCCTGTCTCTGCTTTGCATACTCCTACAAGAGTCTGCACCTTTGATTTTCATTTACATGAGACAAGGAACTCAGAGCCACTGTCTCAGGTTAACTTCAATGGCTTCCAGACCTGGTACCTTCCTGAGAGACAGGCCTGGGTTTAGTCCATTGGGGGCGTATCAAAAGGTCCTGTCACACTTTTAAAAACACGCATCAGCTGAAAGACTTCCTAGTTTATTCTAATCACTCCTCAATGAGGCATTCACAATGAGATATGCTGTCAATTCTATGCAAGCAAGGAAGATAGGCCCTGTTCTGTCTAGGAGCCAGCGAGATCATTTCTGGGTTTCCATCTCCAATAAGCTTACCTTGGCTCTGGGTGTCCGTCTGCACCTGTAGTCCTGTTGTGCAGTGAGAAAAGAAGCAGTATGGGCAAACCTCAGAGTTTCAGAATCTCCATCTGGGAAAGAGGGATGCAGGAGCTAAATTTATCCTTTTCAGAATGTAGGATATCAGCTCTAGGGCTGCAAGTTTCCTGTACCCCTCGCTTTACATCCACTCCCTTTCACACACAAAGAAACACAGTAGCTGAGGAACTCAGGGAAAACTTGCTTATCAATAGCCACTGTTCCTGTGCTAACATATTTTTTCCCTCTGTAGCACTTCTCCATAACTATGGCTTATCAGTTTAGATTGGTTTTGGTCCGCCCTCGATTGTTGTTAGTGATTTCTGATAGTTTCTTGTATGGTTTAGGCTTAACCTCCAACTCACAATCCCTCTCCAGCATCCTTCCTGGAGTTTTTTTTTATTTCTGGATGTTGGGGGTTAAGTCCAGGGGTTTGTGCTTGTAAGGGCTCTACCACCAACCTATATCACAGGCCTTACATAATGCCCCACATCCAAGCATAGTTCCTCGTGCTTATATCTCTTGCAAAAGTGGAAGCAAGAGGCTTAGGAGATCAAGATCAGCTACATAGTGAGCCTGGCCTGGAATGCCTAGGGCATTGGAGAAATGGCTCAGTGGTTAATTAAGATCATATACTGTTCTTACAGAAGACCCAAGCTCCAGTAGATCCTAACTCGTTTCTGAGAGCCCAAAAGGTCAATTCCAAGCACCCACAGCTCAAAACTGTCCTTCACTCCAGCTCCAGAGAATCTAACACTTCTGGCTTCCCCTGGTTTCCTCTGCTAACTGCACTCATGTGCACAGATAAAAATATACACGCACAATTTAAAACTTAATAAAAGTATATTTTTAAAAGGAAGCGAGGTGACAGATGGCTGAGTGGGTAATGGGCTTGCCACAAAGCCTGACAACCTGAATTGTTCCCCCAGGATGCATACAATGGAAGGAGAAAAACACTTTGCCAGGTTGTATTTTGACCTCTATGCTTGTGCTGTGGCATATGAAAATCTCATCTCAGTCTCACTCAAAATAAATTAATAAAGGTAAAAAATTGAAATAAAGAAGGAGAGAGCATGCTAGGTTTGTGATACTTGAGAATTGGAGGGAGGAATTGGGGTTCCTGGAGGGATTGGGAGGAAGGACTTAGGGGTAAATATGTTAAAGACACACTATTTACATATATGAAATTTCTAAAGGAAGAAAATGAATAGAATGTCACAAAAGAATATTTAGTATTTGAAAAGTCCTTCACAAGATTTTGTTACAAAGTAGAAACAAGATATTGTGCAGCTAAGTATATACTTTAAATTTTTAATTATATCAAAATAAATGCAAAATAATGTAAAGAAACTAACACAGTATTTTTAATGTTTATCCAAGGTAGCATATGAATTTGATCTTTGGTTTACATGTATTATGAAAAGGTTGCACGCTGTTGTTACAGAAGCTATTAAATTTTCTAAACTTGTGCAGTTCTGCCATCTGGTGGCTAAACTAGAGATTACCTTTTTAAACACCTTGTTATTAATTTGTGTGTGTGTGTGTGTGTGTGTGTGTGTGTGTATGTGTGTGTGTATGTGTGTGTAATATAATCATACACATAAACACATGTGCTGCATGTCCTCCCTGGAGGTCAGAGGATAACTATGAGTTGGTTTTCTCCTTCCACAATGTAGATCCCAGAAATTGAACTCAGATCATCAGGGTTGGTTGGCAAGCAGGTACCTTTGCCCACAGAGCCATCTTGCTGGCCATGGAACTGTCTAATTGTAGTCTGAGGTACAGATGCTGTAATCCAGATTGCAGAGCAGATACCACAGAGGGAATAACCCCAAGTAGGGCATTCAAACTTTACATGTATTTAGGATAAGTAGCTCTGACTATATCCTAGAAGAGAAGTAGTTTAGAATTCTAATTGCTACATTTACAATACTACACATGGTGACAATATGCCAGCTCCTTTAAAGTTTTTCTTCTTCTTCTTCTTCTTCTTCTTCTTCTTCTTCTTCTTCTTCTTCTTCTTCTTCTTCTTCTTCT